TCTTTGTCGTTGAAAACAGATAGTGCTGGCCCTGCATAGACCGGCCCGATGGCCAGTCCGGGCCTGGATGGTGCTATCAAACCACAGTGCATTGTTGTGGGTTTTGACAGTGCGTATGCGTGTTGGTGCAATGCTTTCTAGGGTATCTCTCATGGTTTTGTTGTAGAGTCGGACTAAGGAGCTGGGTTCTTCACATGTGCCCAAAAGTTCACTTAGATCCATATGTGATGTTACATCAAATGGCGTCACCCGTTTTAATGAGCGGTGTTTGACCAGGTTCTGAGGTTGGGGTCTGGCTGATTGTGATACAATGGAAAAATGAATGGAGTGGTGGTCTGACCAAACAACTGTATTTACAGTTATTGGTGACACTTCTAGTCGAGACTGGAACACTATATGAAATGTTAGACCTTTTCTGTGGGTGGAAGTGGCGAAAATTTATGTGAAGCCGAGTGCACTCATCAAGCTGAGGAGATCCTGCAGGGATGGGGTGTCATCAATCCAAGTGTTGAAGTCTCCCAATATAAGCCATCCGGGGTGTTCAAGGATCAAGCCAGCCAAAAGGTCTGAGAGTTCCTGAAGAAATCTCTTCCCATCTCCTGGGGGTCTGTATATTAACAGTATCTGGAATCCTCTATCTATTGAGAGGCTGGCAGCTACGCATTCAAAAGATTGGGGTTTGTGGACTGATATTAATCTGGGATTAAGTGATGATTTCGCACAGATCATAACTCCACCTCCCTTACGATCTTGTGTAGGGCGGTGGAACACTGTGTAATTGCCTGGAATAGCTGCCTCTACAATAGGTGCCGCATTTTCATCCAGTCATGATTCTGTAATGCACGCTAATTTCCATATTTCAATAAGGTCAGCAATAATAGCTGTTTTGTTCCTTATTGATCTGGCATTGCACAGGATTGATCTGATAGGACAGTCTTGGGATTCTGAGTTTTTGCTCTGCACTTTGGAAACAGTGTGTCTTGTAATGGAGATCACATAAAGAGGTTTCCTTGATTTGATAGTGTGGTTTTTGTGGCTTCTAGGTTGAATCACTTCAATTGGGCTTGCAGGTAGACAGGATGGTGGAGCAGCTGTGATAGTGTCAGGAGATTGAACTTTAAGTTTTGATTTTCCTCCACGACAGCCCCTGTCAGTCCCTTTGAAGATGCCAAGTGATTTTAAGGTAACCACTAGCGAGGGACAGTTACCACTTTTTGGGGTCTTAGGAAATACAGATATGAGCAGAGGTGTAACTAGAAACCACAGAGCCCCAGTGCAAAATTTGCCTTGCCCCCTCCCCCCCATACATCTCACTCCCCCTCACACACACACTCAATGTGTCTCAGTCATACAAACACACATTGACATACATGCAGATACACACCATATAACACATACAGAAACATACACTAACACACATGCTGATACACAAACACACATACACACACGGAAATGCAGACACACAAACACACATACACACACGGAAATGCAGACACACAAATAACACACAGATACACAGACACATATATACACACAGACACAAATACAGATACACAGACACGCACGCGTTTACACAGACACACATACAGATACACAAACACTTAAGGACAAACATTCAAATACACAGAATGACACTCATCCAGATATAAACAGTGACACACATACAGATACACAAGGCATGCACTGACATACAGATACAAAGACATACATATACGCAGACAAACAAATACACATGCAGACACACACACACATACAGAGACACTCACATATACAGAGACACACATACAGAGACATACACACAAACACACACACATAAATACAGAGACATACACATACAGAGACACACACACATACAGAGAAACACACATGCAGAGACATACACACACACACATACATACAGAGACACACACATACATAAACACACACACATGCCAAATGTAACCTCCTGTTTCCTACCTTTTAAGTGCAGGAGAGTGACTTTCCTGGGGTCCAGTGACTCAGGCTGATGGGAGTCAGAGTTCACACTCTGACTCCTATCTCTCTTCCTCCCTCGTGGACTCTGTAAAAGCTGGGAGGAGTGACTGGGGCAGTCACTTCCTCCCAGCTCGGTCTGATGTCATCACAGGGGTCCCTGAACGTGCGGCCCCGGCAGATCTACCACGTGGCCGGGGCCGCAACACATGGCGGTGGGCACCTGGTCGCAGGGGTCCGCAGGGCGGCCGGGCCACCTGGAGTGACATGCCCGTCCTGACGGACCTCCAGCATCAAAAAAGATCGCCATAGGAAAGCATTGAGTAATGCTTTCCTATGGGCGGGTTTGAATGTGCGCGCACGCCCGTGGCTGCGCATGTGCAGTGGAGGCAGAGTAGGTGAAGCCAGCTTTCAATCACTTACCTAATTAACAGAGAATGTAACAACTGGAGTGTGAGGCTACCAGGCCAGCAGGGCAGCCAGCTCCTTTAGAAAGGGACACAGGGCTTCAACAACAAGGTCCTTCAGACTGGTTGGGGAGCTCTCTGAACTGTCTGGCTGAACTATTACTTCACTGCACACCACAGGGAGGCCCCCTAGAGCTTCAGTCTATGACCAATTTGCCCGCGTGCCCAGTCCACCTCGGCATAAACCCGTATCCACAATTATACTATAGCCATAGTTATTGATAATGTTAGGGTGTTCATTTTAACTATCCCCACCCCTTGGGGATGTAAACTATAGAATAAACTGACCTTTAATTCAACGTCATCCAGTTCTCGCCCCAGCAGCCTCTCTGTTTAGTGTGAGACCATCTGTGATAGAGGATCATTGGGGATTCTATGTGCCTTTCGGATGCTTTTCACAGAGATGCAATATACCAATGCTTCTCTGTGATAAGAAATGTTAGCGTTCAGCATCATCAGGCTGGAGTGATTACACCAAACATGATGGATATGCCTTCAGTGCTTGTCTGATGGATGTTTTCATTGGGAATAATGGGAACCAGATTCCCAAAATGTTTCACTTAATATAAGGGATTTATGTTTCCTTCACAGATATAGGCTACATTTCATGTGAGCAATGTTTTTGATTGTTTTTTTGTCTTTTGCAAAGTTCCATAGAGAGATGTATCCTCCTAATATTTCTTTGTTTTGTTTTGTTCAACACCATGTTTTGCACTTTCCATACATCCTCTCTGTGACTTACTTCATCTAGAATCTAGATGATTGCATTTGTGTGCCATCTAGTGGATTAATGGAAACATGCAAATAAATCTTTTTTTGAGGGGGAACTTTCTGTTTGAGGGAAAGGTTAAACTATATTTATTTTATTGAAACAATGTACTTTTTTAAAACTTTTTTTTTATTTGCATGAAGTAAAAGAATGTGCTGGCACGGCCAGGTTGCCAATTCATATTCCAAACATCCCAAGATTTTAACCATGGCCTGTGATCATCTGGAATGCAGGGAAGCGTGGTAAGTCCATGCCCAGGCAAGCATAGGTGCATACAGTACATCTAAGAAACATTGTGGCATAATGTGCCTACAGATACAGTGGAGGTAAATGTATTTAACGAGACACTCCACTGCTGAAATACAAATCACTGTTTAGTAGATATACCCCCAATGAAAACATACAGGCAAGCAATTATTGTGGGTATATCTAAAAACAGCTTGCAAATGCTGCAGTTCTCTTGTCTGCTGTCTTTTCTAACCCCGCCCAGACTTACTGTAACTGTCCAATCACAGACTTCCGGATTCATCTCAATGAGAAATCTTTGCAAGGCAGGTGCTCTGAGCAATTGCTGCCTCTTAAGTTTAGTTCCACTGAGCTAAACAAACCAGGAAGTAACAGAATCGGTTGTGTGATTGACAGTCAAGGGGGGGTGTTACTAGGTTAGTTTATAAATGTGCCAATTTCTATTGAATCTGCACTTTAAAAAAAAAAAAAAAAGAGGACACACTTTACACATAAAGCACTTTAACAAGCTAAAGTGCTTTAGTGGTCTGGAGTGTCCCTTTAATATTTACTTCTAAAGCATAGTTTGTCCAATACTTATTTTAACAGTGTATACTAGGGTGAATGAAGACATCATCACCATTTTAAAAATGACAGCTCATCTCTCAGTAGTCTGTGATTATTCTATATTTCACCAATTAGGTGCCAACGCTATTGGAACACAGCCCTCTTTATATTGTGTTCTAAGATTTATATTGTGTTCTAAGATTTATAAATGTGTGTTACGACCAAATTATGTAAACATTTTATTTTATAGCTTTGTAAAATAAGTTGGTAGGATTTTGGTCAGAGGGGTAAGACACTCCAAATGGTAGCATGTTCACTTTAAGTGTTATTACATGCATACATGTTTTAGAGTAATTGCTCAACAATGGTTTTATAGTCCAAAATGTGTGAGGTGTTTTGGTTTTTCCCCCCTTTTTTTTTATTGTGTATGTGGATTCTTTCTGCCATATTACACTTTTTTGAAATAAGTGATAAAGAAGGTATCTATTTTAACCCTCTTTGCTGGACACTGTCATTTGATAAAGACTTACAGGGTTATTCACTAAACACCAGATTTTGTACAGATGGACAAAATCCAGTGAAAATTACCTGATTCAAACTGCAATGGCAATTCTCATATTTACTAAAGCCAAATACAGTCTGAATTGGATCAGCCCGAGTGAATCTTTAGCAATTTCATGGATGCATTTGGTGTCCTGCTTAAAAATTGGTGTGAAAAATGTCTGAATTGCCCCGTTCGCAACCAGATTGTTTTGTCCATTTAGTACGGGGCTATTTAAACTTTAGTGCGCCCCTATGTCTAAAACTATCATGTTTGTTTATGGTTTCCATAAACAATGAAGAAGCCACCACTTAACTCAGCAGGCATGGGGTAAGATCTCCATATACATATTTCTTGGACTACATTTGATTTGTCTAGTTCTTTTCTCTTAGGGAGATAGATTCACATATTTAATAGCTCTAGTAATATTGGAAAACTCATCTTTATTTTTTATTTTCTACTTTGGAACAAAAGCTTAAAATTAAAAATACATTATATTGTTGCATAGAAATCACATGTTTAGCAACTTTTTTGCAGCCACTCAAAAATGATTACTTATCAGAGCAAGCCATGGTAGCATTATGCCAATCCAGGATGCAGGAAAGCAAATGCCACTGTTTGTGATGCAGTCAATATGACCAGGGAAATCCACACACTGCAAGATCTTGACGGGTCTGTGAGAAGAAAAGTAATTGTTAAACAAATCTGGAACATTATGGCAACAACAAAAATAAAAAATATAAAAATGTAAACATATATTTGTAAATGAGATCAAATACATTACTACATAAAATAATCTGAAATATAATTTTGATTAAAGAGACACTCAAAGCCCATTAACTACAACAGTGCACTTTAGTGGTTATGGTGCCAGAAGTCCACTGGTACCATCCTATGGTAAGGAGTCAAGCCATTTTGAAATGGTTTGAAACTTGAATGGGTCCCTCAGGCATCCCGCTTCTTGGATATAGCGTGGGATGGGGGGTGGGAGGGAGAGGGTCACTGCAGTGTCCTGCATGCCGGTAAAACTGATATGTTTTCCTGTCACTGGAGAGTCCCTTTAAGCTAAACATGTTTTGGAGCTTAGAGCAACTCTTTAAGTGACACCCTATGTTGTGGGCCTTTTTTTGTGAAACTTAGGGATGAGCCTCAATGTGACATAGTGAAGCATTTTTATTGTACTTTTCAGTTATTATATAATGTGGCATAATTAATGTTCCTTTAAAGTTTCAACTTCTGGGAACGATTGTTGTTTTGTTTAATATTATTCACAAGAATAAATTAAAAATGAGAAATGAGAAAGAAGGAATTAAAATTGACAAGCAGAGCAAATATAGGCATAAAAAGGGAGTGAACCTGAATTAGGAGAACGCAAGCAAGGAGAAATGGAGGCTGGAAAATGGTGTACTGGAGAATTCAAATCACTTACGTGGCCATGGTGCTTGAAGTAACCCTTTTTCTTTATTATGTAAGAACATACAGTTACGGAAACTCGTAAAGGGACACTACGGGCACCAACACAACTTGAATGTCATTTATAGATCATTAATATGCTGTATTTAAAATAAAAAATTGTACAAAAAAATGTACAATTTTTTTTAGTTTTTGCATAAAAAAATAAATGTTTTGCCGAATGCTGCACTCAGCCTGCCCTCTCATGCCAGAAAGACTTTCTTATCAAATGTATGATTTGAACATGCAAAAAAATAAAGCATATTAAAAGGTACACTTCAGGCAACAATACAATTTTAATGTATTTGTTTTTGTATCATTAACGGGAAACTCCAGACACCAAAAAAAGGCATAGGAAGTATTTTCACTTGGTTAATTCGTATTGAGTTTTCCTCCTTTTTTTTCTGACAGGTTTGGCTTTTATAATTTAGCCATTACTTTTCTTGACAGTCAGACACTATTGCCTATGAGATATGTCTCCACCCTCTGCATTCAAACACTGACCTCCTCAATACATCTCTATGAGGAGATGCTGATTGGCCAGGGCTGTGTTTGGCTTGTGCTGGCTCTGCCCCTGATCTGCCTCCTTGACACTCTCAGCTAATCCTATGGGGAAGCATTATGATTGGCTCAGACCACCACTTCTGATTATGTCAGTCAAGCAGGCAGATCAGGGGCAGAGCCAGCAGCAGACTGTAGTAAAGTCTGGAATGAAGTAAGATTATACTATGTTTAGGGAGGGCAAGTGCTTTAACACTATAGAGTCAGGAAAACATGTTTGTGTTCCTGACCCTCTAGTGTTCCTTTAAAGCATGTGCAATCCTCTACCTTGTGTTCCTATTGAGAAAATGGTGGCCTTAATTACGGGCATCAGTTCTATGAGGTCTGGAATCCATGTCTGAGAGCACAAGTGGGTATGAGTGGACCAAACTCCATACTTTTTCACAGTTTACCTATCGAGTGACAATTGCAAGTAACCTAATTCCCATTTTTATTCTTTCCTCTTCTTTTATCGTCTCCTCCCTTCTTTTATCTTTTCATTGCTTCTCTGGCTATTTTCCCTTTCTTCGTATTCCCACCCTCTCCTTTTATCTGTCTAGTTTATGAGGAAAACGATTCCTATAGTTGGCCAAAGTAAACTAGTTATCTCTTACAGTCCCATATACACAGCACATGCTTGCATTCAGTACTAGAGTAAGTGCCAGGTGTGCATGCTTCCATATTGCATTTCTCCAGAAGATGCCAAGTGTGCATTACGGAACGGAATGACACCGCAGTGCGGGTATGTTTTTTCATTTGTGGAATTGCTGAAATAGCATTCATTCAGGTGAAAGAACAAGGAACGGTGGATTTAACATTTCAGCTTTAAATGTTTACTATGTGATATGGTTGGTATTCATTTGTACTTCATCTGATACAAATTTGACCTGAATGCTAATCTCTTCTGTTTTACTTTACTTCTGGAAAACGCAAGAAACTTTAACGAATAAAAGACACTTATTTTTTTACTTACCTGTAATTATCCACACAACTGTATGACAAATGTTTTGATCCTAACATAGTTTCTAAAACACTCAAACTGTTCTTCCCACATGAGTCTCTGGAAAAGATAATAAAAACCACAAGAATGTTTTTAGACAACGCTCTCAGGGTCTTCTTCAGCACCGATTCGAAAAGCAGTAAAATCTCATTGTGTTCATCCAGGGGAAATATTTCTTACAAAGCACTTCTATACATAATTAGGGGACAACAGTGATAGAATGAAATGCAGCTGACGAATAGAATATGGGTTAAGACTTACTAATCGTTAAGTGACTATTTCTCAAACCAGAGCAAAGTTAAGATTTCACAAGCCCATATTACAATAATATGGGCACAAATATTCTAGAGCACCTTGGTAATATGAATGAAGGCATTCAGTTGTTTGTCCCTTTACAATGCATTTTGGTGACCAATATTATTATTATTTTATTATTTATATAGCGCCATCAGATTCCGTAGCGCTGTACAATGGGTGGACTGACAGACATGTAATTGTAACCAGACAACTGGACACATAGAAACAGAGAGGTGGAGGGCCAAACTTAGCTACAGATGTTTTTAATTTTTATCTTTCAGCGACAACCATTTTTTTTTTTTTAAACTTGCATTGCATTCTTAATTTAACTTCACAGTGCCATGTAACCTGTGACTGTGAGGATGCATGCATGACATTTCGGATAGAATGTTCAAGTGCACATGTAGTCTTATGTCATAGAATAAGAAGATGCTTGAGCGTTCGTGGGGCATTATAGAGCAATGACTTTCTTCTGGACAAAGAATTAACTCGGAAGTATGAGTGCTTTATACTCACCTCTACTGCCCTCTAGTGATAGATTGAGGAATTGTCACTTTCAACAAAGTACACAAACATTTCTAGTAAACAAGGTCTCAAAAATTGTGACAAAATAATAAATAACCAAACAAACATGTGACTTTATTTTTACTTACAGTCACATTCCTATATTAACCTTTTTCAGTTCCACTGAAAAAAAAAATACTTTTTATTTTAGTTCAGGTCACTAAAATAAAAAGTATTCCAAGCAAAAATGTACATGCTGTGAGAACTGTTTTAGCAATCTACCCCTCTCCTCCTTACAGACTTCTACCTTCTACCTCAGAAATAAGCTGCATAAATAGCTGCTCTACCGCTAAATCAATTATGCTCCAAAGTCAATTTAAAGGCCCATGATTCAGTATCAGTAGAAAGAAAAAAAGTATTTTTCACATGCAATGTCATAACCTAAAGTAAAAGAAGATGGACAGGTACTGGAATAAGGGTCCATGCTAATGATAGACTCCCCACTTTTTAAGCCTTGTCATGGAGGTTTAACCTTGGTGTACAAGAAGCATGAATCCAAATTAGCTGTGTATTCTGTCATGTGACTCACTGAGTAATCTGATCATCTGCTCCTATCACTTTGCAAATAACTCCCCTCCTGGTTCAAAAGACTGTCTATTTGCCCAAGTCCTGTGTGTGTGATACTCAAACATTCAAAGAAAACCTACCTTACATTCTAAAATCCGAGAAGGAGATAAGTCCCTGACATTCCTTTAAAGGGACACAAAGGTCACGGAACGTCTTCATCTAAATGAAGTGATCTGGGTGCAGTAGCCCTGTCCTTTGACCCTGCAATGTAAGACAATGCAGTTTTGTTTTTTTTTTTTTTAAAGCAATGTTTACATTGTAGTGTTAAATCCACCTCTAGTGGCTCTCTTCCTGACAGTAAAACTTGGCCAAGTAGCGTGGAAGCCCATAAGAAAGCATTGAATACAATGCTTTCCTATGGGGAAGGTTGAAGGTGAGTGCATCACTCGCCGTGCGTGCGCACCAGGTCCCTCCTCTATGAGAAGTATTAGATGGTACCATCATGCCGAGGGAGTCTTGCCCACAAAAAATGTAAGCAAAAATGTTCTTCATTTTACATGATGGGGGGGCTTTATTGTTTTATAGTTTAACCTAAAAGAATGTGAAAGGCATAGTCATCTTGTTTTGGAATGACCCTGTCCACATTATTCCTTTAAATACATATACAGTTGCAAGAAAAAGTATGTGAACCCTTTGGAATGATATGGATTTCTGCACAAATTGGTCATAAAATGTGAATGTTTACATGGTGTGTTCAATAAAAACATGGCAACATTTCATTCTCTGTGTGTTATTAGTTTAAGCAGACTGTGATTGTCTATTGCTGTGACTTAGATGATGATCAGATCACATTTTATGACCAATTTGTGCAGAAATCCATATCATTCCAAAAGGTTCACATACTTTTTCTTGCAACTGTAGATGTTTTGCAACTTACATGTCTGCTCCACCAATGTCATCCATCACCCAGATATTGACCTTGGATATTTTGTTGGTGTCAAAGTTAGGAATCTCGTAGTCTGCTAGAAAACTAAAAGAAAAACAAAAAAAAAAACATTGTACTACTGTTTGCTATGGAAGAGTTTCTGGTCTGCAATCATAAGCCAGCAGTTAATGGTATTAAAGTATTATTATTGTTATTATTATTGGCATTTATATAGCGCCAACTTATTCAGCAGCACCCTACAATATTATAAAGGGAAAAATATAACAATAAATGAGACATTTCCAAAATGTTACGGGAACAATAGGAAGGTGAGAGTGGAGTGTGGCCCTTTAGGAGAGAGGAAGAGACAGGAATCTTATAGAGTACATGAAGTCTATATGGTACAGGAAGCCAATGTAAGGATTGACAGAGGGATGAGGTGTGAGAGGAGCAAAGTTATTTTATATATTATTATATCCAGATTCTCCGTATTCTATACAAACTGGCCGTTAAAGGGAACTCTCTTTCATAAAAAAGCTCATTTTTTTGCACACGATGTAGAATTGGAAATAAAATGCATTTACTAAAATGTACAGAAATATGTCCACCGCTCTAAACATTTACCTTTCTTTCATTTGAAATCTGACCTCTGCAGCGAAAAATATTTTTTTTGCCCAGCCCTTACAATGTCCAACCAATCAATTGTTTAATTAAAATGTAAGGATTTGTAAAAAATAAATTAAAAATAAAATAAAAATTTAGGGCTCTATTAGTTTAAGTACCATTTTTAAGTATTGTGCCTATTTAAATCATGACTTGCTATTGAAAAGCTATTGTGGACTGCAATTCTTATTAGGATCAACCAAATGCTGGATGAGGTTGATGGTTTTCACATTCCACATACTCTGTTTCGATAGTGGTTGTTTTACCATTCGTTACATCAGATGTATATTTTAACACTGACCAGCCCTATCCAGAATTTCACAGAGTATGATTCGAGTTGTACTCCAGCAGCACCAGGGTAGTTCTTGCACTCAGGATGGGACATAATTTCCCAATGGAATAACTTGCAAGGGCAGAGATCAAAACTCATAACAAATTTAAGGATTTATTTTTCATTAGAGAGTTATTGCATTCAATTGCCTGGGAACCGGACAGTGGAAACATTGACACTTTGTGTAACACCCCCAGCTATGGGCAACCTGTCCAAGGCGTGAGGTTAGCAAGCAGTATGCACCAACACCTGATTTAAAGGTTGCACAAAATGGATATTGCCAGCCAGGAAGAGAGTGTTCAGCAATTGGATTGAAAGCTCCAGGAGGCAGTCTTACACACAGGATAATGTTTACACAAAGATTTTTTTAAACAAAGGCTGCAGGGAGAGGGTGTTTGCACCATAACCACTTTAGTTAGCAGGAGAGGGATACATCTGATTTATTGGGTTACTAACTTGACACACTGGAGGTAACTGAGATCCCTGAAGCTTGGTAGAAGCTGTCACTATGACTTTGCATGCTTGTGTGCGCGTGACCTAAATGACCAAAAATGTATGTGTAAATCAGAAAACACTCACCTAGGGACTGGAAAAGCACCACCAGGAGTAGAACCATTTAGCATAATCTGTATTTCTCCATAGCTATATTTTGCGTACTGTTAAAAGAAACAGATTAGATTAAAATTAAAACAATAATGCTTCAGTCAAGTATTAAATAGACACTATAGTCACCTGAACAACTTTAGCTTAATAAAGCAGTTTTGGTGTATAGATCATGCCCTTGCAGCCTCACTGCTCAATCCTCTTCCATTTAGGAGTTAAATCCCTTTGTTTATGAACCCTAGTCACACCTCCTTGCATGTGACTTGCACAGCCTTCCATAAACACTTCCTGTAAAGAGAGCCCTATTTAGGCTTTCTTTATTGCAAGTTCTGTTTAATTAAGATTTTCTTATCCCCTGCTATGTTAATAGCTTGCTAGACCCTGCAAGAACCTCCTGTATGTGATTAAAGTTCAATTTAGAGATTGAGATACAATTATTATTTTTTTTTATTATAATAATTTTTTATTGAGAATTTTTTTTTATATATCACAAATAAACAGCAAATAGAAATAACAAGGAGTATTCTATTAATATGATACAATCAAGCATTTAGTACAAAGTCTTGTTATTTGTATAATAGAAATCGATTAGACAAAAAGAGAACAAAGACATAGACATGACCAAGACAACTAAATTATCCCACCACCAAAGATACCAGAATTAGTTATCATGTAATATTACATAAAAATACACTTGCAGAAACAAAAAAGGAGCCAATTGAAACCTTCAGACCATAATTATTACTATATAGTTTTTCTTGCTTTTCCCTTTTCTATTACCTTTTCTTTCTTCCCTTTTCTTTCCTCTTCCTATCCTTTTCTTTGCCCTTCTCTTATCCATTTTTCCCCCTTATTATATAAATAAAAGACACAAGCCATAAATTTGTTACCAATTAGATATGGGAAAGTTTATGAAGCCAATTGGAATACCATATAGCTTTTTTTGAAAAGACAGTATTATTAGTTATAATCTCTTTTTCCATTGTTACCTGAAATATAATTTGATCGATCAAACAGGATTTCTGAAAAAAATTTGAGGACTTCCAATGTCTGGCTATATTGATTTTGACCGCAACAAAACAATGTATAGCATAACATGTATGTTCTTGCTATTTTAATTTCCAATTCAAATGTAGAAGGGCGGTGACCAGATTTTGATTAAGTCTAATACCTGTAACTGCATAGATGGTATTAAATGCCCATATGCACAATGGTTTAACTAATGGGCAATCCCACCATATATGCATATATGTGCCCAGAAACGAACCACATCTCCAGCAAGTGGAATCATATGATTGAAACATTGTTGTCAATCTTGTTGGAGTAAAGTACCATCTGTGAACTACCTTAAAATGGCACTCTGTCAGGGTTAGGCAATGTATATATTTATTTACATTTATTAGAGAGGCTAGCCAGTCATTAAAGGGAATCATCAAATTTAGTTCCTTCTCCCAGATATTAATCAGTTTATGTGGTATTATCTTAGTTTCATCAAGCAAAGAGTTAGCAACAGAAGTAACCTTAGGAAGCGTTCGATAACAAAATAAAGCTTCCAATTTCTTAGCAAAGGGAAAAGAAGTTGGAATAATACATTTCTGTATGAAATGTTTGATACGAAGATAAGTAAATATCTCTCTGGGAGAAATATGTATATTATCAACGATCTGTTGAAAAGACAGAATATTATCTCCTTGCATGAGGTCTGAAATACTTAGAGAGTCAATATTACCCCAAGAAGTCAATGAAAAATCCTCTATTATACCCTCCAAAATATTCAGACTACAAGATCTTGGTATTAATTGAACAATATTCAACATTTTCTTAATTTCTGCCCAATCCTCAAGAGTTTGAAACAATGTGGAAGGAAACCAATTATTTGGCTCTTTCGAAATCTCTTTAATATCCATCCACATATAATGATATAGTCTAGAAGAGTGGGCAGCTTCCGACTCTAATATAAACTATGGCTCCCTGTGAACCTGTGGATCTTGAAGAATGTAAATATGCCGAATAATATTTGCATAATACGTATATAAAATACTAGGAAAGCCAAGACCACCTTGAGATAGTTTTTTAGAAATATTTTTTTGATTAATTCTGGGTCTTTTATTCTTCCAAATAAATTTATTGAAACTTGATTGAATCATTGCTTGCCAAGGTTTAGGCATTTTTAATGGAACCATAGAAAAAAGATATAGCCACTAGCGTAGAATATAGGAATTTATAATATTAATTTTACCTATCCAGGAAGTTTCCAGGTTTTGCTATTTTTTTTAATTTAAGGTTCATATTTTTCATTAAAATTAAAACATTTCTCTCCATTATAGTCGGAATGTTTACAGGGATCGTTAGACCCAAGTAATTTAATTCCTTGTCTGTCCAGCTAAATTTATAATTCTGGGATAAATTATCAACCAATTCTGAAGGCATATTAATGGTTAAAGCTATTGATTTTGAGATATTTAACTTAAAATTAGATATACTAGAATTTCTCTCAATCTCAAACATTAAAGGCCGAAGTGATTTTTCAGGAGAAGACAGGGTGATTAAAGCATCGTCCGCATATAAAGAAATTTTAGCGTCAAGTAATTTTAATTTGACACCGCTAATTAATGGGTTATTCCTAATATTAATAGCTAAAGGTTCAAGAGATAAAACATACAGTAAAGGCAAAAGGGGACACCCCTGTCTAGTAACGTTTTTGAGATCAAACCATCCTGCAGTTATATTCAGGCCCACTGTTCTGGCTGAAGGGGAGGAATATAGGGCTAAAATAGCACCATATATCCATCCCGTGAATCCGAATGCCTTCAGGACTTCACTTAAATATCCCCTCCCGACCCTGTCAAACGCTTTTTCGGCATCTAGTGACAGGGCCAGGAAGGGAACATTATGTCTATTTGACCAGTCAATACTGTCAATCAATCTACGGGAGTTATTTGATGCCCATCTTCCAGGGATAAACCCGATCTGGTCAGTTTGAATAAGATTCGGTATAATACTTTTAATTCTCTCGGCAATAATAGCTGAATATAACTTCATGTCTACGTTAATTAACGCAATCGGTCTGTAATTACACCAGTCTGTACTATCCTTATTCTGTTTCAGTATGGGAACAAGATTAGATTGTAACAATTCTTTTGGAATGGTGGTATTTTCGGCCAATTGATTAAAGAATTGAGTAATAGGATTTAGTAAATGTGACTTCATATATTTGTAATATAAATTTGTGAAGTCATCAGGCCCCGGAGTTTTATTTATGGGGAGTCTATCTATTTGATATTTGACTTCTTCCACAGTAATTTTGTTGTTTAAAAATACCAGATCTTGTGAGGTAATTTTCGGAATTATTGTATTATGTAAATAATTTTTAATATCCTTTGTTTTAGGATGTAAATTTAAGTTGTATAATTCTTGATAAAATTGGTTAAATTTTTGACCTATTAAGGAAGGGGTGGAGTAGACTAATTGGTCAATGACCAGTTTTTCTATCCTATTCCTCGCATAATGATTTTGAAGTCTTTTTGTTAAATTTTTACTAGCTCTATTACTCGTATGATAATTATTTAACTTTAACTTAGTTATATTAAACTTAATCTTTTCTTCCTCCTTTGAGTTTATTTGTTGTTTTGAATGGTTTAGATGAGTCCTCAACTCTGGCGTAGGATGTTGTTTATTTAGATGGGCACCCCATGATAGATTGAACATGAATCTGGGCACCCTAAGATAGACGGAGTGCCTCCTCTTCTTCATATTATATATATTAATTTATGCCTGAAATACTTACAGTTACAGAAGCAATTCTCCAGAATGATTCCTGTGCATTGTATTCACATTCTGTTGTTGTGGGACAGGAGATGTAATCCATTCCTTTAAAATGATTCAATTAAATATCATATATTAAGATACATATGTAGGCGCTTGGCCTAGCATAGCGATCAAGATGTCATATGAGTTTCAAATACATCTCAGTTTAATAGGGAGATGCTACTTATTCCTAAAACAGCATAGCCATACCTTTGATGTCTGAATCATCATTGTGTAATGAAAAATAATGCATGTTTACAATGTTAAATAAAGGTTGGTTGTTGACAGTAAATTTGGCTGACCAGATGCCTATTTTAGTATGGGATAAATATCAATGCTTCCATCAAGTGCAGTGCTGTTGCTAGGTGACCAAAAGACCGCTTAATTCCAAAGGTAAATTTCATGATCTCTCCCATATATATTAACTTAAGCCCCTCTCAAACCCCAGCCTTGTACCGAGTCCAATGTCCAACCCTAAACCCTAACACAGGCATAGGCAACCTTCGGCACTCCAGATGTTTTGGACTACACCTCCCATGATGCTTTGTCAGCATTATGGGTGTAAGAGCATTATGAGGGATGCAGTCCACAACATCTGGAGTGCCGAAGGTTGCCTATCCCTGTCCTAACATTTACAATAATTACACTTGGACACCAAATCTTTAAAAGAATTAAGACTATTATATACTTAAAAATGTATAAACTTGCTCTATTACCCCACACCATGCTGTACCTACCCTGAACCCACAATAGTAGATATGCCTTTGTACTCTAGTTAATACATGTTGTGGTTTTTGCTTATTGTGCATATTTTTTTTATTTTTTTTTATGATCTACGTCAGAAGATGGGAACCACTAACTACTGCCCATATTGATGCTGCTTTATTTAGTATCTCACCTGGTTCATTAGCGACTCCACACCAATTTAAATTGTCTCCTAACCAACCAGGCAGTGTATCTCCGAGCGGCATGTATCGCTTTGTTCTGTCAGAGTATCGATGAACTAGATCTTTGTTGTTTTCCCAGAAAAAAGACTAAAACAAAAACCAAAACATCGTTAATGTCTTGTAATGTGAATGGGAAGAAACTAACAAACAAAAAAAAAAAATCTCATAGCAATCAAATTATAATTAAAAGCCAACTTCGTGTGTTTTTCTTAAGGTGATCAGAAGATATTTTTCATGGCACATTTGCATCTTTTTTTTTTAACCTCTCCCCGTGCGTAATGGGTCACTCTTAACGCTGGAAGAGCTTTGCATGATTAGGGTGCAGCTGGTCCCCTGCATTCCATCCAACTTCTACTTGTTCCATAAACCCTAATGAACAAGAAGCAAAGGCTTCCCATTGCTGCCTTGCACCATGGCCACTAGAAAACGCTGTAATGTCTATGATGCTTGAAGTGCCCCTTTAAAAAGCATGCCCCCTGTTCTCATCGATCTTGACAAGACCAATAATGCATAGTTCTACACAAACCAGTCTCGTGAATGGAGCCCCATGTCAATTCCATGTACAGACTCATCGATGGTAGTAATAAAATAAATCCATTTCATCTCATGGAAACTCTAACTGAGATTGATGCGATCTGAGTGACAGGAACCAGGATTTTGTCAGGCTGGAGCATTCCAAGCCTCTCTTTGGGGCTGTCTGGGGTCAATCTGTTTGGTGTATGTGGTGGGAGGGTTACTTTTGTCTATATATGGGGGTAGGTTGTTTTGCATTGTTAAGGGCATTGCACATTGAAAAAGGGTTTGTATACCCAAAACATCTGTGTTTATGTTTGTGTCCTTCATAAAAATGTAGCACTTAGGTGCACTGCTATATTCTGGTTGCCCTTTTTACTTTGTGATTAATATGTATACGACCAAGCGAGCCATGATGGTTTTACGAATGAGCTGCACAGAAGTAAAAATATTCTCACCTTTTGATCCTCTAAATATTTTTCCTATTGTTATTTTTTTTTTTTTTTTTGATACTGCAGAATCCCTTTTCCTCTTTTTGATTTATTTTTCTCAACTTTGAAAAAAAAACTTGAATGAAAATCCAGGGGATTGCAGATACATTCCTAACCACAAAAGGCTTATCACTTACACATAATGCTCTAAAAGAATCTGGAGTGTTTTAGGTGTCTGTAGTGTTCTTTTAAAACACATACGACTGTTTACTACTTGCGGCCACCAAGTTTAGGGAAGCCTAAATTAATTAATTACAATGAATTCATAGATACTCCTAAAAGGGCTCCATGAAGACAAGGCCACGTCTAAGTATTCTTGCCTCCAATAAGATACATTTGGATGAGTTTTTAGTTTGAAATGGTCATACCTTATTTGGAGGGATATTGTGGAATGTCAGATTAATATATAGCTCATAGTCCGATGGAAATATGGAACACGGATCCTTGTTGACAAATGCAGATTTAAAAGCTTCCCATATCTCAGAGCAGTTCTTCCTGCTGTATCAATTTTAATATGACAATGGTGATTACTGAAAAAAACTAAAGAAACAAATTTCAGAGTCATTCATTGAATTCTAGTGGGTAATGTTAGGTAGGAAGTTGGTGCTCTGAGTATAATCAAGTAGAAATTATTTGGGGATTTGAGCGAAGGCCCATCAGATGAATAGTAAACCTGCACCTTTGGAACTTTTTGATAACACCTAGCTCAAGAACCAAATTTGGGTACTCGTGGTATTTTAAAGCTTACTGGTTTATATGGTTACATTCTGACATCATCATACTCATTCAGACCCCAACAAGATATTTAATGAAGCATTTCTATGAGCATCAGAGAACAATTTCACACTATGAGTAGCCTACTGAAGTTATTTTTCTTTTTTAATTTCTTTTTAGTATTTATTACAGGACAGTTTTAGAATACGACTCCAAGCTATGTACCCACACTGAGGTTAAGAAGCCAAAACTACATATTTACTGACTATACCTCCTTATAAAACAGATAAACAGCTTGGGTAGCCTCCAAATATTTATTTGCATTATTTAGCTTGAAAAAGTCTAGACTCCTGATAAATCGTGGATCCTTGTGCTTCATTATATTAAAGTGGTCTGGGTGCTGTGTTCCTGTCCCCTTAATCCTGCAAGTGAAAACATTGCAGAGAAACTTCAACATTTCCAGTGCAGAGTTATGACTTCCTGGATTTTCTTGGAGTTAAACTCTGGGAAACAATGCTTTTTTTTGTGCCCCAGGACGTCCAACATCTTCAAAACCCCCCACAAGAAAGCATTAAGGTTAGTGACAAAATTGTTTTTAACTCTTTGTACACCAATGGGGGGGGAGGGGAGAGGAGGTAGGGTGGCTTGTATGTTAGGGACAGAGGCATACTATAGCATTAGAATACAGATTTGTATTCCTAGCGCTATAATGTCCCATTAAGGTGACTGGAAGAAGAAGCAGGGTACAACAATAATGATCTTACCCTGCAGAAGGGTTCACTGTCTCAATGTAATCGTAGCACCTGCCTATAATGATCTCTCCCAGGTTGGGGGTTGTGCCATCTCCTCCCCATTGTTTTACTGCCACTCCTTCCAAACACGCAATGAATAGACATCCAATGGTCACAGTTAAAACATGCATCCCAAGAAAATGGTGTCAGAACAAATGTAGCAATCTAGGAGAAACAAAATACACATTTATTTATAAAATATTTTACCAGGAAAGATACATTGAGATTTCTCTCATTTTCAAGTATGTCCTGAGTCCACAAACCATTGCAATGTTACATTATGGTACAGTAAAATACAAAAACAATATTAATACACAATATATACAAAATTTAACATAGAACAGGTAGGAAATATATAATCACCCATAACACGTGCATTCTGTTTTGAGGTATGTAGAGAGGGATCTCTTAAATAACTTTAGGCTTGGGGGGGATTTTAAAGTGTGCGGGAGGTCGTTCCACAATTGCGGTGCTCTGTAGGAGGAGGATCGGGCTTCTTTCTTTTTGTATTGAGGTAGACTAAATAAAGTGCTGGTACCGGATCAGAGGTTATAGAAGGTGGGAACAGCCGAGGAGAACATTTTGCTCAGGTAGGGTGAGAGTTTCACAGAAAAGCTTTTAAACACAAGGCTAGAAAGATACAGGGTGCGTCTAGACAGTAACAAGGTTCTTAATTATTATTTAGAATTTGTCACAGTGTTTAATTGATGGTTTTGTTCACCATGGGTGTAAACATTGTTGGACACTAAATGGGAGTCACCACCTGCAGGAAGTGGCATGCAAGACATACATGACTTTAGGAGTAAACATACTGTTCAGTTTAGGTGACTGTCTAGATGAGAAGAACTCATTAACAGAGCCGCCATCAGGGGTTGGCAACAATGACGGTTGTCACAGGCCCAGTAGTACAGTCTCGGCCCCACTTTTCCAATCTGTAGCAGCAAAACTGATAGGGCCCATTGGGTGGCCCATGCACTTAGGTATGATATGGGTAATGCAAAGGTAAAGTGGCAAGCATCAAATATATTATAAGCAATACATGGCGGAACACATATATGACAATACATATATAAAGGATTAGAAAATATGTGGGGGAAATGTATATGACACTTTTTCTTATCTGTAACTTTATTAATTGGTAAATCATTTTTCTAAAAGTATTTTTGCCCAACCAAAATTGTAATTTTTGTTTCAAAAGACCCCTTCACACGGGCACTTATGTATACACGACTGCCAGACTATGCAACCATGTATAAACGATTAGCATAATTACAAATGTGTTTATTGCAAATTATACCATATCTACAGTCAGAGTCAGAGAGCTCACAGGGAGCCGCAACAATGCAAGCCTCTGAACGAATAATATAGAGACTAGCTTTTGAGTGTTATATATCGACAATGAAAATAAAGCATTGTGTGTTTGTGTCAACAGAGTTTTCGGACCTGTTGGCTGGCTGCACTGGTCCCTGATACCGGGGGATGTGTTAAGGAAGAGCTAGGCCAGAGAGTAACAAGTGCCTTTGTAAATGCAGTAGTTGCAGCAGGGCAGACATAGGTGTTAATACCTGCCTGGAAGAGAAACAGAAGAGGCAAAGGCAGAGGGGACAATACCTGTGTGGAAGGAGAGAGCAGCAGCCTGGGCCAGTGGAAGAGATCTTCAGAGACCCCAGTCAAGCTTTGCCGACTGGGTCTGGAGCACTCCAGAGTCCTGGAAACTAACCTGGAGGAGGCACTCAGTCAAAGTATAGCAGCTCCGTCACAAGGAAGTTTAGCTGTTCTAGAATCCTAAGTTTTGATGTTCCATTTCTGCTTCCTGCTGATAGTGTGGGAGCAGTAAATAGTGGGGAGCACAGGATTATTTCAAGCTGTTGTGACTGTAAAAAATGGAGTTGCTTCCTGCAGACAGCTGTCATGGAAATTATTTTGTCCAGTCTCAGACATCCTGGTATAAGTAAATAAGTAACTTTAAAAAAAAAATTAAAAATTTAACTCTAGTAGCAAACAGAGATGGATTAACATCCCACGGGGCTCTAGGCAGGTTTCCAGTTTAAGGCCCTCCCTTACTTTTTCACATAAGGATGGGTAATGGGGTCAAGGAAATTCATGGTGCTGGGTCCCTGTCTAACCCCTGGGCCCTAGATGGTTGCTTTGTGGTTAATCCTGCTTTGCTGACGTATGTAATCACAGAGGGCAGTTTTCACAAGTGAGAGATTCCCAGTAGTTCTAAACAGCTTTTTGAAGCCCATTTCATATATTATCAATGAATTGATTTGTCAGGGTCATTCACTAAAGTAATAACTGTCTGGAAAGCAAAGCAAATTCAAACTGAATTGCAAATTTAGAGGAACAGTATAGCATTAGGAAATACAAAACAAAATACAAAACTGTATTCTAAACGCTATGACTCTGTCCGTATTACATTAGGTCTATCCTGTGCGCACATGAAAGGGCTAAACTCTTACGCTATCAGACCGCCACTAGAGGCGCTTCCTGTATTTACACAGAGTTTAACCCGGTGAAACGATGCTGGACATCCTCATGCTTTGCATGACAACGTCCAGCATCTTGAAAAACCCCCATAGGAAAACATTGATTCACTATATACTAAATATTGTAAAATCTTACTTGTATTCAAGTCTGCAGCTCCTGGATCTGCCCCTGTCTGCCTCAGACCTGCCTCTGTCTGCTGACATCATCAGAAGTGGTGACCTGAACCAATCACAATGCTTCCCCATAGGATTGGCTGAGACTGGAGGCAGATCAGGGGCAGAGCCAGCACAAGTCAAACACAGTCTTGGCCAATCAGCAACTACTCATAGAGATTAATTGAATCAATGCATCTCTATAAGGAAAGTTCAGTGTCTGCATGCAGAGGGTGGAGACACTGAATGGCAGTGCTGCTTACTCTGCAGCACTGCCCAAGGAAGCAGCTTTAGCAGCCATCTAAGGAGTGGGCAGTGGAGTTATCACTAGGCTGTAATGTAAACACTACATTTTCTCTGAAAAGACCATGTTTACTCCAAAAAGCCTGAAGGGACTGACAATACTCACCAGAACAAATACAATAAGCTGAAGCTGTTCTGGTGACTATAGTGTCCCTTTAACTCTAACCCAGCATGAAGTATAAGCATGTATGGATTTTTAAAAGGATCAGACAGATCCCGGGGAAAAACAATTCAACAAGCAGTATAAAATTGCAGGAGAGAAAGCACATAAAACCATACAGGGTCTATGCACCAAAGTCCTAGTGCACGTAAATGTAGCACTCTGGTACAGTAGTCCAGTCTGGTATAAGCAATCTAAGCAACAGTCTAAGCAATCCAGATACACTGCCCTTAAACAAACATGTATTCCTGACATCATAGTGTTAAAACCACCATCTAGCCCCCCCTGGGCCCCTCATGCCTCCATAAACATAGCACAATCTTACTTTATTCAACCCTGAAGCTGTAACTCTGCATGCTGTTTGCCTCAAAAGAACAAGCTGTCTGCTGACATCATCAGAAGTGGTGGTCTGATCCAATCACAATGCTGCACCATAGGATTGGCTGAGACTGACAAAGAGGCAGATCAGGGGCAGAGCCAGCATGATTCAAACACAACCCTGGCCAATCAGCATCTCCACATAGAGATGAATTGAATTAATGAATCTCTATGAGGAAAGTTCAGTGTCTGCATGCAGAGGGAGGAGATACTGAATGTTTGGATACATTTTAGGCAGCCATGACCCAGGAAGGATCTCTAACAGCTATCTAAGGAATGGCCAGTAAAGTTATCACTAAGCTGTAATGTAAACATTGCATTTTCTCTGGAAATACAGTGTTTACAGCAAAAGCCTGAAGGTGATGATTCTACTCACCAGAACAAATTCAATAAGCAGTAGTTGTTCTGGTGACTATAGTGTCCCTTTAAGTCGTCTCTCCAGGAATCAATTTAACCCACGAAGGGTCCACTGTTCGTGGGATACAAAACATATAGACACTCGTATCCACAATGAAACAGGCTGCCACAGCTTGACAATAAATCTGCTCCACACGTGGTAAACATTGTATCAATTGGAGCAGCTAAATCTAGTTTCACTTGGAAACTTTGCCAAGATATGCTGATACAAAGTAACCAAACCGGTTCTTTTTAATACAGCCCAAATCAAGTTTCTCCAATTTGTTCTTAAAGGAACAGTGTTTCCCCGAAAAATAGGGCATCCCAATTCATTAGTAGAGAAACTTCAGCATAAGAATCTCAACATTGAAAATATAAAATGAAAATAAACAGAAATTTGTTATAAAATAGCTTAAAAAAAATAAACAAAACTCTCCATGACATAGGTAACATTCAGAGCTGGTTTGGTATAATTAAAACAATACAAAAACTGATAAGAATAGGATTATTAAGCATAATAAAGAGGGCAGCTACATATCCCAACAAGCGTCTTAAGTGAGTGAAAGCTCATAAGAAAAGGGGATTTATGTGCGCTCCTTAGTGAATGTATAAAATTATTAAATCAATGTAAATAAAAATACAAATTTATTAGTATAAAAAACCATGCATATAAATCTAGGAAGACCGTATTAAATCAATAATATTGTAATGTCACCCCACTGATCTAATACTAGTCTGTCATGAGCTATAAAAATCGATAACAATGTATACAAATAGTGTATGAACAGGCACTGATAGACAAATCTGCCACACCGGAACAACAATGTATCTACAGACTATCACACCTGTAAAACATACACAAATACAATAAAACCAATGAAAGAGTACTGGCAAAAAATGTATCCCTTAACACATATAAGAATAACAGATAATACATAAAAAAATACCTTGCCTCGGTGTGGGCCCCCACCGAGGTATAAGCAAAAAACGTGTCCCGGAAGGTGTATCCTCAATGGGTAAAAAAACAATAAAGGGTGTCCAATGAAATGGTGACAACCCAGGGAGGAAAAATACAGGAATAAATGGATATGTTTTACACCGCGGTCGGAATCTTCAAAAAAAGACCGCGGTGTAACTTGAAGCAACTTGCAGATGGATAAGCAAAGAACAACCACATTCAGGCTCCGGGCACAGTAACTGTAGCAGGATACAAACACCAACGTGATAGTAATCTTCGTTAGAAACCGTAGAAGAACTAAACGGCAGCTCACAGACGCTCCAAACAATCAGATATCAGAAGATCAGCTGGGACCATACATCTACGCGTTTCATCTCTCCCACGGGACTTTTTCAAGACAACATAACTGCCAGAAGTCCGGGTTTAAATACCCCATGTAAAACACGGAGTAAAAAAATATATAAAAACCTCGTACTGGATTCATAATATAACTAAATAACCGCATGGTTATGTTAATTCATATGTGATCTATTGAAATAAAATAAATATATACACAGTAATAATAACACTCTATTAATGTTAGGCAACAAGCTTATACTTATTAAACAGGATGAAAGGAGAGGGATCACAAACCTCATATGGGGAGAAAATATATGTATACAAGGGCACAGACAGTAGTAATAAATAGATGTTACTCATATAAGCATATATAGAATTAAAGAGACAGGCTCCATTCAGAACGGTATATAAACTTAGTTAAACCAAAGGTTACTGTTAAGGCAAACCCAACATATCGTTCTTTATAATTTATGAATTACAATTGAGGTTCTAATATAGCTATCTCTTTCATAAGAATAAACTTCTCCATAACCGGTATACCAGAATACAGGATGATATTGGAATCTAAGATTATAAACAAAAAATAGGTTCAAGGGCTAGGTAACTAGAGGACAATCAATAATAATTATTAAACATAGATAATTGATTATAACATAGTGGCATAAGGGATGAGTAAACTAACTCAACTTCGCAAGGATGGACTACTGCAGCAGCGGCCTTAAAACAATTCAAGCTCCTCATTGAGGCCATTAGGTGTCATAGAGTTGAGCTTGAAGATCTACATGGATTCTGCCTTAATCAATTCCCTTTTCTTTTTAGCACCATCCTGATTAGGTGGAATATGGTCTATCCCCATTACTTTTACACCAGAGGGATCTTTATCATGGTAGACTTCAAAATGTCAGGCCACTGATGATCTCATATTGTTATGCATTATGGCTAGTCTGTGTTCTCTGAATCTGCATTTCAGGGGTCTGGTCGTTTGACCCACATATTGCAGCCCGCAAGGGCAGGTTAAAAGATACACAACGAATGGGGTGCTGCAGGTGATTTTAAATGATGTGGAAAAGATTTCATTGCTATTATATGGACTAAATGTGGAGATTTGATGACAGATATACCCACATGTAAGACACTTATTACGACCACAACGCTTGTTCGCTATACCCTTCTTTTTGTCCCTCGCTTGCCCCCCATTGTCTATGGTAAATTTGGAGGTTGCTAGGATGTTCTTTAGATTGGGTGCCCTTTTAAAAAGTAACTCTTGGGACATCAGAGATGCAAAAGGACAACCACGGGTCCTTAATCAGAATGGGCCAGTACTTACAGAAAACCTGAATAATTTCATCAAAACCTTTGTTGAACATGGTAGAGAATATGGGTGTTTTGCCCGTGCTTACTTCTTTTGTGCTGATATTATATCTAGCTCTTCTCATAGTGGGAGTATGGGCTCTCTCCAATAATTCGAGAATAGTATAATGCTCTTTAGTAGGAGGCTTCTGCTCTAATCTTTGAACTTGAGTATAGCTATTCAGTAGAGGAGAACCTTTAACAGGAGACTTGGAAGAGGTCTCTCTGTTCAGATCCCATCCTCTCAGATAAGCATTAAGGATCTGTTTAGGTGGATAAGCTTTATCCAAAAAGTGATGACATAGAGTTAGGGATTCTCTTTCATAATCAGGCATAAATGAACAATTCCGTCTAATTCTGATGAATTGACCTGATTGAATGTTCTGTATCCAGGTAGGGTGGTGACCACTCTTGGCATGCAGATAGCCATTCACATCCACACTTTTCTGATATGTTTTGGTATGCACCCTTACTTTAGAACCAATTAGGCTTAGGTCCAGGAAATCATTGGTGGATCTGTGCTTTTTAAGTTTAAACATGAGACCCCTGTGGTTATTGTTGATTTGTGAGACAAAATATTCTATCTCATTCCAATCACCTCTCCAAATAATAAGGATATCATCAATGAATCGGCGGTAGAGGGCGAGTCGCTCCATCCAGTATGGGTCACCAAAAACCACCGCATTCTCCCAGTGACCCATAAACAAGTTGGTGTAGGATAGAGCAAAAATCGCCCCCATCGCCGTTCCCTTGGTCTGTAAATAAAACGCCCCGTTGAATTCCAAATAGTTGTGTTTCAACATGAATTCCGTAAATTTGATGATGTATTCTGCCTGTCTCTCCGGAAGAAGGGAATCTGTATCCAAATAATGGGATAATGCTGGGATAATGCTTTCAAACCTAAAGTGTGGTCGATATTTGAATAGAGGGCTGTCAAATCGATCGTTAACCAGCAGTAATGTTCCAACCATTCAATATCTTTGACTATAGACAACACATGCCCTGTGTCTTTCAGAAAGGATGGCAATATATCTCTGCAGATGGAAGTCGACCCACTTAGAAACTGGCGAAATCAAAGAACCTAAATCCGAAATAATGGGGTGACCAGGGGGATTCGTCGGGGATTTATGCACCTTCAGAAGGTAGTAAAAAATAGGGATATCCCCTTGAGCTTCTTTCATTTTTGTCGATAGATCCATTAGCATAGGCTGATTCTACAAGGTCTTTCAATTCATTCCTAAATGTCTGGGTGATGTCATAACTTAGTGCCTTATAGTATTCTTCATTACCAAATATGTTGTAAGCTTCGTTCAGATAGTCAGTTTTGTTCAGAATAACAATGCCCCCCCTTATCTGCCCCCTTGATGATCAAATTATTGTTGTGTTTTAAACTTGTGACTGCTGCTGATTCCAATTTGTCCAAATTATTACAGACTCGATCCTTCTTCTTTTGGAACTCAGCACGAAGAGCCCTGAGATCTTTCAGAACCAGGTCATAAAACATTTGGATGAATGGTCCTTCATCCACCTGTGGATAAGAGGCAGAGGGGGGTTTTAGTCCAGATGAAATATTGGTGTTCACTATATCCAACGCATCCCAATTATATCGTGGGGTGTCTTGTTCCTCCAAAAGAGAGACTAAATTATAGAAGACAACTTTATCCTGTGGGGCATTGAGAAACTTAGGGCACTCCTCCCTACCTGATGCCTCCCTTATGTTAAAAGATCTGATAACAGTGAGCTTCCTCACAAAATGATTGAGATCTTTAAACAGGTCAATAATCTTGGGTATCTATCCGGGGCACATTTCAAGCCCTTGTTCAAAAGGGAGATTTCCCCAGCACTAAGGACATGAGATGATAAATTAAATATGTCTTTGTTCAAAGGCATCTCACCTTGGTTGGACTGTCCACCTCGTCCTCTAGTTCCTCTTTTTGTGTATATTCCTGAACAATGGAAATGTATTTTCCTCTGATGCTCTAGAGGGGGCTGCCTCTAAAAAATCAGGCTTGTTGGTGACATTTTTCTTTTTATAAGTCACGTACTGAATTGACCGTAGCTCCAGGCTCCTCCTCATCTCCAATGCTAGAGTGGGGGAGTTTTTCAAGGGAATAAAATTAGGATGATTAAATTCTCCTTTATATCGCCGTAGCAGAGGGAGGTTGGTATAATTAAAAACATCATTGCAAAAATCAGTACAATAAAATGTAACAAATATTACATGAAACATAATGAATGACACATAATACATGATCTAATTGCTGCGTAGGAAATATTTTATAAGAAAAATTCCTCATTAAGACCATGCGGTCTTAGTCTCTGCAGTTAACAATCTTTTCTTTCTCCTTGCAACATCCCATTCTGGTGGAACTAATTTTATTTCCATTAACCTAATATCTCTGGGATTCTAGTGCACTGCTTGAAAATGTGTTGAGATTGCAGACGTCTTGTCTTGCTTGAGAATTGCTAAACAGTGCTCTCTAAATCTGGATTTCAGAGACCTGAAAGGTTTGCCCCACATGCTGTAGTCCACAAGTATAAATTAAAAGGTAAACAACAGAGCAATCCCCCATGTAAAATCCCCCACCTGGAATCTCCATATCTAAAATGGCCAACCTTGGTAATACCTGTAATCACTGTGTTTAATTTGGATAAAGATACTTGTTTTTACCCTTTAAAGGAAGGTAAACTAAATCCCAATTAGGTAAAGGAAATACCAGCCAAAGATCCAGTTTAAGCACAAACGAATATTTAGAGATAATAGCAATAATCTCATCAAAGCATCAGTTGAAACCAGTTACAAAAATGGTCCCTTTATCTCTAATGCACTCCCTAGTGCTAATATTAAATCATCTTTGACCATAGCCTTGGGTCTTATGGGGATGGTGTGCCAAAAGTTCTAAAATAGATTAATGTGTCTCAGAATGGTATATTGCAATCGGTTCTGGGGTAGCCTGGTTTTCTTCTCCCCCTCTCTCCCCAAAGAGATTAGCCCTATTACATTATCTTGCATTTAAAAGAGCCCTACCTCAGGGGATAACCTTTCTCTATGAAACATTGTACCATTAATAAAGCTTATTTTTCATAATCACATATATAGGTGCAATTGTGACTAATCCAAGTAAACTGGCCCAATGGGATATGAATTATCCATCTTAAATGGTGCATGCAAATATCTCTCTCAATGTCCCCTCATAACCAAGTCAAGGAATTTAATACTATTCCTATGTTTCTGAGCGTTGAATGAAAGCTCCCACTTGTTATTAATATATGCAAATAATTAATCTACCTCCTCCCAAGAACTCCATCAAATGACCCAATTGATACCTGGGTCACCAGGATGAGAGCAGGGATTTCACGCCACTTGCACCAAAATTGTAGGATGTTCAATACCTTCCTAATGGCTATAGAGCCCACTGTTTTTAGAACAGCATGGAATATCCTAATATCATAAAGAGGTCAAACAAAACAAATGAAATTTTATACAGGAAGAAAACACAGCATAAATAGACGGCCAATTGACACTCTAACGAAATCCACTGTGAGTAACGATTTGAAGCAAGGTGATCCTAAATAATTGTATTCCATAGTTGTTAAACACAGTATTGCCAAATATACAATTCATTCCATTTTCTTTCATCTCCTACAGAGTTATTCACTACAGTAAGAATTCAAAGTTAATTTCAAGTTTAAGGTTAAAATAACTGAACTGAAAAAAGTCTAAGTCATCTAGGATCAAATGTTGGAAGATATTACACAAATTCACTTACTGTTGTAGCAAAATCTTATTTGAATACAGGGTAAACTGGTCTTTTGTACATAGATTCCTTGAGTTTCTTTGAAGGTCTTTTTTCCTTGCAGTTTTTCTGTTTTGTACTCGCTGAACTTTGTTCTTTTTCTCCTACTCCAAGTAATCATCTCCAGCGAAGGATTGGGAGGCTAACTGTACGATATGGTACCTTATCTTTCAGAAGATATACAGTTTCAAAGCACGTATTTTCCTTGCTCTCTAATTAGCATTATTAGTCATAACTCTTTACTTATTAATAAATAAATAACCAGGAACCACAAGATTATTATTGTTCTACTGATTAAACATGAATTATTGTTTTTTATTGAAATACCTACCACAAAGTCAGGAGTATAAGATATACAATGAATAAAAGTTAAGGTTATGATAACAAAATAAACTTAAAAAGGCTGATACAGCAGGTTTTGAGAGGTCATGAATGCAGATCTAACCTTAACTTTCAAAATACTTACTAGACATATGTAATATTGTTAATATTCGTATCTATATATAACGCCATCTTATATGGCAGTGAAATAAATGAGATAACTAAAAATGTTATAGGAACTATAGGTTGACCAGGACCCAATTCAAACAAGCTTACAAACTAGAGGAGATGGAGTATAAATACACAACAAGAAGGACATTGAAGGGGATAGCAGCTAAGCAACAAGGTGGGAAAAAGGCAGAATTAGATGGTGAGATGGAGTGTGGCCCTTTAAGATAGTAAAGACATGTATAGGAATAGAAGATATTCTGGGAGGCAATATGCTTTTCTGAAGAGGTTGGTTTTGAGGGACTTCTTAAATGATTGGCATCTAGGGGGGAGTCTGATGGGGATAGGCAGGCTGTTCCAAAGGAAAGATGCCACCCGCAAGAAGTCTTGCAAGTGCAAATTAGCATTAGAGGTGTGTGCACTGCACAGGAGAAAGTCACCGGCAGAGCAGAGAGAAGGGGCATACCTGTAAATTATTAAAGAAATGTAACAATGGCTAGAGTTGTTTAGAGCTTTAAAGGTCAAGTTAAGTATTTTGAATTGATTCCTATAGGGTAAAGGAAGTCAATGGAAGAATTAACAGACGGGCAAGGTGTGAGAGGAGCGACGGGAGAGAAAATTCAGCCTTGCAGCAAAATTCATTACAGACTGTAGTGAGGCAGTACGGTTTCTGGGGAGACCAACTGGGAGAGAATTACAGTAATCCATGTTACTAGAGCATTAACAAGCTCCTTAGCAGCATCTTGCGTACGAAAGGGGTGGACGTGGACAATGTTTTTCAGGGGGAATTGGCAGGATGTGCAGAAGAAATAGAAAAGTTTAAGATATGCCATAAGGATGGCTCAAGACAGGGGAGAGTGATACGATAAGGTGAGATGGAACAGGACTAAGCAGACAAGTGGTGGGGTGAGAGGATAGGAGAAGTGCAGCGCCATCCTGTTCAGTAGGCAGGGAGAAAGTCTGAATGGTAGGAAAGGCATGGAGCGAAGGAGGGAGAATTCTTTCCTTAATTGATTAATATTGTCATGAAAATGGCATGCAACGCTATCGGCTGATAGTTTACTTTTGGGGGTGGCCACAGCACGGTGAAGAAGAAAGCTGAAGGTATTAAAGAGACGCTTAGGATTGTGGGTGCTAATGAACTAATGAGAGGAAAAGTATGATTGTTTAGCAAGGGTGAGGGCTGTGCTGCACGAGCACAAGATTAATTTAAGTCTGACAAGGTGCAAAACTTCCTCCAGCAGCGTTCGGCTGAATGGAAGCATCTCTGCAGATAGCAGGTCAACATAGTGTGCCACGACTGGAGGCTTGTCCTGCTTGAGGTGTATGTATGGAGCGGGGCTGCAGCGTCCAGGGTACAGAAGACAGCCAGAGGGGGAAGATGGATGAGAGTTGAGAATGGACATCATCTGACAGTTGCTGGAGGTCAAGAGAATCTAGGTTCCTACTAAGATGAGAAGGGGTAAGCTGAGAATGTTGGGTGTGGTGAAACTCAAGAACAAAAGATATGAGGTGTGGAACTGACAGAGGAAATGGAGTGTAACAGAGAAACCATGCACGGATCTGAAAAAACAAGATCAAGGTTATTGCCAGCTACAGTTTTAGCCTACTGTGATAGCCCAAAGGAGAGCTCAGGCAGTCCCTCTGCAGGCAAAGCTGCAGATCGCCATTCCAGCAATGTGATCATGAGCTCACAGGCAGTCCCCAGGATCGCGACTGTCAGCGGGGAATCGGCGGGGACACAGTGAGTACAAAGGACAGCGGGTACGTTTTGTGACGCTCCACAGCGTTTAGGACCAAGACCGCATGGAATGCCCACCACCGTTAAGGGGTTAATCTAGACGCTGAATGTATTCAGCCAATTTTTTAGTAAATACAATAGCTGCTATTCTGTTTGGAAATTCAGCCATTTCCACTGAATATTTTCCCATCAGGACATAATCTGGTGTCTAGTGAATAACCCTCTAAATCATGTAAACACTAGGGGGAGCCATACCCACACCGAATAAATAAAGTGAGTTAAGGTGCTATATTTATATCTATACACTTACAGGGTTATTCACCAAAGTGAGAATTTAAAGCAGGGCTGGACTGGGAACAAAAGGCAGCCCTGAAAATGATATACCAGCCCAATTATTCATCTCTCCAGCACAGTGGGCAAATATACAGGTGCAAAAGATGAACTTAAAATTCAAAATTATTTCTTCAACATGAAGGAAAGTAATTATAGGGCTTCAAAATAAACAAAAGAAATGATTAATTTTTTTTTCCATTAGGATTTTATTGACATTTCTAGGCAATGACACGTTGAATTACATTCGCTTATGTCGTAGTTACACAGTACAATTACAAGCAAAACATTGTACAAGGATACAAGACATTGCCAATGAATACAGGAAAAAATAAAAGATCAAAAGTGATTTGTTCTAAAAGTAAATAGCGAAATCATAATAAAAACAATAACATAAACAATATAGTGCACAAAGTCGTTAGATGAAGTGGAATGTAATAAATACCATACCCTCGTATTAGTCCGTTCAGTCTATTAGTCATCTGCCGACGTGATATTGCCAGAATGGGCTTGAGTCAGGTAGTATGCATGTACTATTGGTTGTTTTTTCACCTATATTTTTTTTTTTAAACTCTGATCTGTATCTCGCCCATGGCTCCCAGATTTCATCTAGTTTGCGTCTCTGTTTGACATTAGAAGCCCCCATAAGTTCCATGGTGTAGTTTAAAGGTGCATTGTAGTGTCAGGAACACAAACATGTATTCCTGACACTATTATTCTAAAACCACTGCTTAGTGGTTGGCCCCTTTACATTTTTTAAAGCATTAGATTGGCTGAGATTGTAAATTCTGATAATTTTAGCCAAGGGGGTGGGGGCAGGACCAAACACTACCCTGGCCAATCAGAATCTCCACATAGAAATGCATTTAATCAATGCATCTCTCTATGGAAAGTTCAGCATCTCCATGCAGAGCGTGGAGACCTAGAATGTCAGTACTGCATACTGTGCAGCACTGCCTCAGGAACCACCTCTAGTGGCTGTCTGAGGAGTGGCCACTAGAGGTGTCCCAAGGCTGTAATGTAAAAACTGCCTTTTCTATGAAAAGACAGTGTTTACATTAAAAAGTATGCAGGGACTGACTATACTCTCCAGAACAACTACAATAAGCTGTAGTAGTTCTGGTGACTTTAGCATCCCTTTAAATTGATCCTATCTATCAATTTTAATTGGAGAGGAATCACCCAAAAGGGACATGCTAGTGTACGTAGGTGGGAATGAAGCAGGCTTTTTATTTGTAAATACATAAATATGAAGCTAGATGGGATGTCAAACAGGGATTGCAGGTTTGGAAAGGTGTTCATAGTATTACCTTACACTAGTTTGGATACATGTGTGATCCCCACATCCTGCCATATCTAAAGTGCCCACCATGGTGCTAGAGCTGTCATGGACATCAAGAAGGTCTTGGGGGGGAAAGTACTTCCCAAGTCCATATGTTTTGAGCAAATTATTCCATGCGTGAAGCATTAGTTTTGTGGTGGGGGATAAGTCAGGTGTCCAAATACTCTCCACCAAGGAAAGTCCCTTTGAGAGGCATGTCTCCATATCTACCCTTCCCAGCGTTCTGTCGGGAGCGTGAATAGTAGCCACCAATTGCAGTGTTCAAGGCCGCCATCAGAAATTGTGTCCCTAACACAGCTCAAGGTCTAGGCCCCCAGGTGCCCGCCTCCAAGCCCCGCCTCAAAATCCCGCCCACAGGAATACACCCACACAGACACAAAAGGACACAGACACACACATACTAACAGACATAAATACTGAAACAGACATACACACATATAGACACATACATATAGACACATACACAGATACAGATACACACACACATACATACAGACATACATACATACTGATAAACAGACATACATACAAACTGACATACAGACATACATACATACAGATAAATACATACTGACATACATACATACATAATGGCATTCTTACTGATATACATACAGACATACACACACATACAGATAGATATATACACAGATACATATAGACATACTGACATACACACACAGACATACATTCATACTGACATACATTCTGATAGATAGATATATACATACAGACATATACATACTGACATACACAAACACATACAGATAGAAACATACACAAAGACATACTGAAATACACACAGACATACATGCATACTGACATACATACTGACACACACACAGACATATATACATACTGACATAAACACACAGACATACATTGTCTGTATGTATGTGTGTATGTGTCTATCTGTATGTGTGTGTGTATGTCAACAGACATATATACATACTGACATGCATACATACTGACATACATGCATACTGACATACACACACAGACATACATACATACTGACATACACACAAACAGACATACATACTGACAAACAGACATATATACATACTGACATACACACACACATACAGATAGACACATACACACATACATACAGACATACTGACATACACACACACAGACATACATGCATACTGACATACACACACACACACACACACACACACAGACATACATACAGACATACACACACACATGCATACTGACAAACAGACATATATGCATACTGACAAACAGACATATATACATACTGAC